AGTGATCTCACTGAAAAGAAACTTGGACATGTTCGGCAGATATATATATATGTGAATATAGTGTATAGGACTCCATTTTGGTAAGCCATACATGCATATGAATGCAGCATATTAATATATATAATACAAGTAGCAGCATATTGGTAAGGATCCTCCAGTAAATGCTGCATACAATTCGTCAGTTAGTTCCACGTGGTTGGGGGCTTGCCACTGACTGCACGTTGGAAGCACCAAACAATCATCATGGCTAGCCATAGATTTCAAATATAGCAACCCCAACAAAGATGGAGAAAAGTACAATGAAATGATCTTTTAAAAGAGATTCTGGATTAAAAGAGATTCTGGTTTGGTGAGGGGTTCAGGTTGGATTGTATCAATGATCCAGAATTTGTTTTAAAAGATCATTTCATCATGTTGTCTTTGTTTTTGTCTTGCAAGGGGGAATTTTAGTTTATTATCACAATGTTTTTTTATAGGGTAGTTGATTGAAGGGGTTAGTTTGGATGTTTTGTGTGATGTTGTTTCATGGTTTTGTTGTGATCGGAATATTCTATTATATCATGTTGTCTCATGATTTTGTGTTGTGAGGGGTCTAGTTTCTTGTCTCACATAATGTTGTCGAATGGGTTTGTTGTAATAGGGTTATCTTCTAATAATATAATCATCTTGTCTCATGGTAGCGTGTTGTGAGAGATCAATTCGCACTGTTTCACAGCATGTTGTTTCGTGGTTGTTGTGATGAGGTTATCTTATATCATGTTGTGTCATGGTGGCATTCAGGGGTTCGCGTTGCTTTGTGATTGGGTTTTAATACAGCAGCCATTTTTGTTTTCTCCAGCTGCTGCACTTGTAGCCATGGTGCGTGTCGTGCCTGCTCGCGCTGGGTTCCCAAACCCTAAGAGGCTCTGTGTGTTTCCTTATGTTTCCTTTACATGTTACATGTTGCCATGTCCACGTTTGTGTTTTTTCATGTTTCCTCCACGTTAGGTTTCATCATGAAAACATCCTTGCATGGTGAGGTGCAAGGCCCCACCACCGACCTTGAAGATCGTCCAGAACTCTATATCCCTTACTCTCAGGGAATTGGATGAGCTACCCCCAGTCCTTGATTGGACAAGCAGCCTGGGTTGGAAGTCCACTCATGTCATGTAATGTAATTTCATGCCATGCCATGTCATGTCATGCCAGGTGCGATGTCATGCCATGCCACACGTCATGCCATGCCATGATCATGCCATGTTGACTCGATGCCATACCACTTTGACTTCATGCCAGGTTCATGTGGTGAAATGTGAGGTTCCGTCGTTTCATGTAGTGTCATGCCACTTGATGTCATACATGTTAGGCGCCATGTGTGAACAGTTTGAGGTGCAATGAAAAGTATTCAGCTGGGACGAAAGCTGCAAAGGTTGAGGCGTGAGGCTCTTATGCTTGAGCTCAACTCCAAGCCGAAGCCGGAGGTTGCAGGGAAGGAGGAGGTGAAGGTGGATCCCAAGTTTGAACCCAAGCAGGAACTTGAATCTGTGGTTGATGAACCCATGGTTGACGAACCCATGTGGAAGGAGGAGGAGGAGTGTGAGGAGGTTACGGAAGAGGCAGTGCCACCGAAGCAGTGGCAAGCCTCCTCCCGTGTGCTCATGAAGTTGTGGAAAATTAAGGCAGATCTGGAATTCAAGAAGAGGCAGGCAAGCATGTTGAGGTATTTGGTTCATGAATGGCATGTTGAGGTATTTGGTTCATGTTGAGTGTGAGATCAATTTGGGTGCATTTGAAGTTTTGTGTTGGTTTGAGTTTGAGGTATTGACATGTGAATATGATGTAACACCTTATCGGATGAAATTTGAAAGTGTTGATTTGCCTACCATGCCATGGCCTTCATAATAGGCATGTCGCGGAAGGTCCAAGGCTGCCACTTGCAAGACTTCTTGGAGCAATGTCAGCAAAGTCAGCCACGAGTTGTCCTTGTCATGCCACCCAGGAATCTTTTCATTCCATGTCATGCCATGTTGATATATGTGTATCAAGCTTTTGTCACCAGCCGCAGCTTGAGGTTCCGCATGTGCCAGGAGGGGCAATGACTGTCTTGAGCTCAAAGGGTTGGGTCATTGGGGAGCATATCGTCTTAAATATCATAAAGACATCATGAATCGTCTTAATAGCCGCATGGAGCATACTTGTCAGGCCGGGCATCGAACAGCAGCGCTGATTTACAAAGGGGTTCCTCAATGAGAATGGCAACCCTCGTTTTTGCCGTAGGATCAAGGAAGTTGGGTGATATGTGACAATTGGTTCATGTCACCCGCCTTCGGTTTTTGCGTCAGAGATCATCAATGGATCCCAGTTTTCAGTTTTCCCTTTTAATCAATGAGCTCGCAAATGCACTACTTGATCAGGATCCCAAAAAGGCATGCCAGCAAGCAAGACATGTTGCAACTTGTGTCATCCTGTTTGCCACCCCCATTCATGATTGGTGATGTTCATGCATGTTTGTCGTGGCATTGCATGTTAGCATGATGGCATGGCATGTTTTCATGATGGCATGCATGCTAGTGTCATGGCATAGCATGATGGTCTCAAGAGTCGTGTAAATAGGTTCGGCCCACCTTCATTCATTACACGTCTGCATGATATGGCATGTTAAGGTTGTCACTTGCATGACTTGCTGCATTTGAATGTTGCCAGCTGCCTTGGCCCTCGGCTTTGCTCAGTCGGCGACTGGCTCATCAGAACTTAGTCGTGATCGTGGTCTTCATCTAGCCCAAGGTGACTCCGACTGAATTGCTGCTGCTGCTGCTGAGGGGCTGCGGGCTCATGCCTGTGTGAGCTGTAGACTGTCTGAGTTAGTTTATCTGTGATGGTAGTTTCCATGGGGTTTGCCATGCTTTGATTGGTCCATGATCAACTTTTGTACCTCTGATCGCTTTGCAGATTGGGCTCTGTCTATAATTGTCATTACATCAATCAACTTCTGTATCTCTGACTATGTTTACCTAGCATTTTGGATTTGTTCGAGTATCATGTCATGACATCGATCCATCAACCAACATAGCGTGCAAAGTTTCCATGACATTTCATGCCTTGTCAAAGACACCTTGAAGCTGCTATCAGCCATGGCTCCCCGTCGATTGGTGGTTGCTGCCCTGGGAAAGAACTTTGACTACAGGCATCCTCGGTCCTTCAGAGCAGTCAAACATGTTGACCGAGACTGTTTTATTTATGCCCCTGGAAAGTTTCCTTTCATGTGTCTGGCAATTTTAGATGAACAGCTAGTAAGGCGGCCTGAGTTCCATGATGAGTACAAGTCACCGATCAAAGCTGCTGAATGGAAGAACCGCTGCTGGGCGTCAAAGCTGCCAAAGTTGAAATGCCAAAAGCTTTAAAACTTCCTGCGTAGATGTCTGATGGAAGAGCCCACCATGCACCCATGATTTGTTGAGGCTTCCACAAGCTTGAAATCCACTGCGACACGTTCATGAGTGACAGTCCGGCACTTGAACCGATAGTTGTAGATGTCATGTATCACCGGTCCATGTGGTGTGCCCTCCAAAATGCCTATTGTACTAAAATTCTCTTCATGTCATGTGCCCAGGCAGCATCAAGAAGCCAAGCCGCTGCAACGGATTTGACAAACACTGTCAAGAGTCAGTACTTGAATCGTTCCGTGTCAGCATTCTAAAGGGCTTGGTCTTCGGCTCTTGCAAAGGTCACTGTGAATGTTCAGACTTGTCTTATACATATTTGCATGTCTGTGTGCTGCAGTTGCCCCAACTTAGTTGTGCCAACTTCATGGAGTTCCTGTTGCAGTTCTGCTTGATGATCGAAGTGATGGTCGCCGCCAAGAACACCCTGGTGTTGGTGTGGTGTTCAGCTGGGTGCCATCGAAGTGTGACTTTTGCATGCCCCTTGGCACAGGAAGGTGTTCATCCACGGCTGAGGTTATAGCTGAAAGTGAGTAATTCATAGTAAGTAGTAAGGGTGTTGCTTGCTGTTCTGGCTCGCTTTTGTGAGGTGGGGTGAGCACCTGGTTTAGGATCAAGGGCTCGGTGGAGGTGGAGCTGTATTGCCCCAGCGTGGCCACTCTCACGAAACTTGGCAGCATAGGGCAGCTTGCATTTTCGACACCAGCTTCAGGCTTCAGGCTTCAGGTGTGATCTTGGCAATCCTTTTTCTTCCCTGTACAACCTGCAGGAGGGAATCTAATCTCTGGCGTCGTCCCTTGACTTGATATCGCCGGACTTGTCACTGTTGTAAGCTCTATGGTCATGAATCGGAAGTTGACTTGCAAGAGCATTTCAGCTACCTTGCGGCTAAAATTGAGGCTATGAAGACACTCCCCAGATGGATCTGCCAGTGGTGGCCAACGTGAATGACTATTTGGTGGGCTCAAAGGTGGGATGTAGTACGCTGCTTTCATGGATCCAGTTTGTTGCTTCAAAACATTACGCTGCTCGCCAGCTAGTTCCAGCTGCTGATACGACCAGGCCTTGGAAATCAAAGAGGAGCAGACAGACGATGCGCAGGAACGGACTTCGCAACATCTCACGTCATGTCACGTCATGTCACGTCATGTCGCATCATGTCATGTCATGTCATGTCACGTCATGTCATGTCACATCATGTCATGTCACATCATGTCATGTCATCTTAATAATAAAAATCTCAGGAAGAACAAAACCATGTCATGTGATGTCATTTGATGAGCCGAGCCATCATGTTAAATCTCAACATGGTTCGATTCATGTTTGCGGGTCATGCTGTAAGGTTTCCTCTTCCTGATATCATGGAACTGGGTGGCTTGCTTGTGTTTTCTTTGCTCTGGAGGCCGCTGAGGCCGTTGACATTGATGACGATGATGACGATGATGAACATGAAGAGGACGCTGGCTCCATGCCATTGTCTTGTAGAACCCCGATCATACCATGCCATGCCATGTCTTAGCACATGTTGGGTGATCCATGATGGCAAGTTGCAACATGTCGCATGCTTGGTTTCCCTTCAAGGAAAGGCCTCGTGAGATCCGCGCCCCTCCTTGGAGAGTTGCTACACCGCCTGCTCCACCAGCTTTTCCTCCCCCCCCACCTGCCATCTTGCCGCCGCCACCAGCAGTTCCGCGAGCTCCAGCAATTCCGCCAGCTCCACCAGTTCCCATGCGAGTGGCCCCAGAATTCCCCTTCCAATTGCCGCCCCCAGCATTCCAAGTTGTGCCACCTGTGCCAACTGTGCAAGTGCCAGCGGATGTGTATGCCAGACTGGCACAGCTGGAGATGAGCTTGCATCACAGGTTTCGACCGTATTGAGGGATAAAAAGGGCAGCCATGTGTGTGGAATTTGCATGTGGGCATGTGGTTGTTCATTTGGCTTCTTGGTGGGCAATCTGAGCTGCAGCAAAGCTGAGACATATTTACAAATGAGTCTGGAAATTTACTGTCTTTATTTCCGCTTGCACTCGCAACGCTGTGCCAGGCCACTTGTTGCGACCACCGCCGGAAGTGAGCCATTGGGTGGGGGCAATTTTGCTAACTGAAAGTTATCACTGTTTAGTATCATCTGTTCCTTTTGTTTACACAACTTGTTCGATTCAAACATGGTTGTGTGTGACTCCTGTTAGGCATGATTCCCATGTATGTCACATGGCATGACTACCATGCATGTCACATGATGTGATCTCAATGTATGTCAATGTCACAGGGCAGAGCTTCAGCAAAAAAACTGTCTTGTCGCACCAGGTACCTGGGCCAAGCTGTTGCAGTCTGGCGCTCACAGTGCCCCCCTCTTCGCATTGCAGTCTGGCTCCTGCAGATTGCTGTTGATGTTGGGGATGTTTAATGGGTTTGGGCATCTTGGGGATGATGTTGTGTTCCACACGACATGGATCAGCATGACATGACATGACATGACATGACATGACATGACATGACATGACATGACATGACATGACATGATGTCCATGACATGACATGATGTCCATGACATGACATGACATGACATGACATGATGTCCATGACATGATGTCCATGCCATGACATGACATGATGTCCATGCCATGACATGACATGATGTCCATGCCATGACATGCCATGGCATGACATGACACGACATGGCATGACTTACCTTCCTGTTTGCCCATGATGATCATGAGTGCCCATGAACATGTTAAGTTGTTTGTGCAGCAGTATCCAGGTTCAAAGTCACCCGAAACACTTTGAAGGAACTAGCTGCTTGTGGCATTTGTGTTGACAATGCCCGTGATGCGACGACCTGATGCTTCCACCTCTTCTTCGAAGGCACCAGCCAAGCGACCAGCATCGGCCAAGCGTTCTGCTGTGAAGCCGCCAGCGGGGAAGAAGATTGGGTCTATGGGTGGGCCCGCAGATAGGAAAAGGAACAAGCATGACAAGGACAGGATACCAGTCATGGTAATGTCAGGATTCCTCCAAGGCCTCTTAAAGGTTCCTTCTAGCACCTTCACAGTTATTGCCATTGTCATTTATTGGTTATAATAAACTTATAACTGGTTATAAAATCATGCAGCAATTTTAGGAATGGGGTTATCATTACTTCTTGCTGGTAAAGGGCCAAAACTGTATTTTCCGTTCTCAAACTTCTACAGACAGCCCTCAAAATCGTCATACGCAGCTAGGATCGCAAAGATGATGATGACTTCATCCATGAAGCTAACCAACCAGACTGGGCAGCAATGTTGCTTGAATTTATTAATATCCAGTGATGACAAGCAGTGCCACCAAAACAAACTAGCAATACCAGTTGTCACGACATACTGCTGAGGTTGGCAAAGCACATCATGGATGTCTCTCCCGAGATTTCCGGCCGAATCTCTTGCGAGCTGACACTCATGAGCGATTGCGCAGGAATGAGCAGTGAAACATGGGCCATTACGTATCTTGAAGGGTTTGATTTTCATCAGCTGATTCGACACAGGTGATGTAGCTATAGGTTGATTCCTGATGTTTTCCATTTCTTGGCAGCAATGTTTCGCTTGAGATCCAAGGCAGGTCTTTGAGCAATTGCGCAAGATCTCTGAGGGGAACTTGTACTTCCGCGCAAAGCTTGAAAGTGCATGTGAGACCTAGCTCTAAGTTTTCAAACCACTTGTCAGGTTCATATTATAAATATACTTTTCTCGGCATATCAACAGAGACACCTAAAGCCACCTTAGGACAGGGACTCAAAATGCCAAGAGTTTCTGCAGAAGCTGAAGCCAGAGGTGATTAGTGCTGATGTGACCCAGCGGGTCCTCACCGACGATGGTGAACTCAAGGATCTGAACATCTTGACGAACATGTGGGAAAGCCTTCCAGACATTGACCTGTACGGCGCTGGATTCCCTTGCACTCCATGGTCAAGGCGCTGTAGGTTCAGTCCATATGGCTTGTCATGTCAGGTTTGTCATGCCATGCCATGCCATGATGTCACATTCATGTGGTACCACACAAAGGCTCAAGTTTTGGAACCAATGTTTCCTTCATCTTTGGAAAGACAGCTATTGCACATGAATTTTCCAAAGTGCCACCTTAATTTCTGGCATAGGGAAGTCCAATCCTGAGGGGGTGGAAAAGGGGTTGGGTACCCCAGTTCTTTGGTTTTTGGATGTCGCGGCAGCCAAAAAAAATCATGCACGTGATTTGGAAAACCAAGTCAGGGGTTTCTGCCTTCAAGGAGGGCAAACATGTCTGTCCCACTGGGATTTAAATCATAAGGCTCATAAATCATAAGGCATAGGCATGAGCTCCGGCTTATAGGAGAGGAAAGGGCAAAGGCTTTGACGATGAGAACTCAAATCCGTTCTTTTCATCTGTTCACACCATTGCTGTGAAGAAACCCAAATGCTTTGTCTTGGAGTGCGTCGACACTATGGCTGTGAAAAGCACCAACGAGCTCGGGGAGTCGAACGACCTGAAATTTCTGGAGTCCTTCCTCACAGAAAAGCTTGAGGGGTACACCTTTGTTACTTTGCAGCACCGCTCGCCAGTGAACTTCGGCTTCCCCATGCTTCGACCTCGTTTTTATGTTGTGGGTGCCCACGACTGTCAGGTCCCAAAGGACAAAATCTTGCAGGAGCTGAACCGGGCATGTGCCGCACTGGCAGCTGACGTGATGCCAGACTTTCTGACATTCTTGAACTTGAGGACTCAGATTCTTGATGGACATGCATGCCAATTTAATATTTGGGTTGGTCCCCCGAAAAAGACAGGAAAAAATGTGACCTGTGGGGGGCTTTTTGTGAGCCAACCTAAATGGAATTTGCCAGACATGTAAAAAGTATAAACAGCTAGGGCTTCCTTTTTTGGTTGCTAGTTTGGAATACGGACATTACTGCTTTTCCTTGTCAGATCCAGTATATATGTTCCACCTTCAAGACCAAGGATTGATTGGTCCCGCCTGTATCTTGGATTGGCTGCTGTGCAGTCCTGCATTCGTGCATGTGCGTTTATATGCATAGCTTTGCCTTGCACATGTAAAGAACTTAAGACTACATTGCCTTGCCCTGGTCTTTAGGCATGCTTTCGCAACCTTGGGTGAGATCCAGCAAGTTCGTTGCAATTGCCAGCTCTCTCCTTGGAGCAAGTGCCAGCACCACCCATGCAAGTGCAATAAGTGCAAAGGGGGTGAGGACCAATGCACATGGAGAGTGCTCCATGACCCTTAGCTACAGGAATCCAAACATGATGACAAGATCGGGCCTGTATAAAAACATGTGAATCTCCATCATGTCACCACCAAGGATGAGTACTTGAAAAAAACGTTACCAAACTTGAATGTCAAAGATGAGCTGGACCGTCTGTGCAACCTTTCAGCACTTGGAGTGACTGGCCACGTTTTGGTTTTCGCATGTTTGTGCATTAGCTTTTTGAGTGACTGCTATTTTGTTACTAAGCTTACATCGAATGCCTGGAGCTGCACGGCATCTTGGGCCCTATGTCATGCCGCGAGCGCAACATGATGAACATCATGTCCTATGTGGTGACCCAAAAATCGAGCATGTCAGCAAGCTTCGCAATTCTGGACAAAAGCCAGAGCATTGATCGCACCCAGTTTCGGGATGATGGGGTGGTGCCAACTGTTTGCACAACATCCTCGTTGTGGGTCTTTGCTCTTGGCCGTGAGCTGAAAGCTGCTGAGATTGCTTGCCTTTTCGGCCACAAGGGCACACCTTTCGGTGGGCAGACCGAAGCAGGTCTGAAGTACCTCTTGGGCAATTCCATGCACCTGGCCGAGGCACGTGTGTATGTTCGTTTTTGTTCCTGTATAAGGCACTTGATCAACTTTTGCACAGGTGGGCACGCTGCTGTCTACCATCACTTTTCTTCGCATGGGTCTGATTGGCCGCTGATGCTTGACAGCTGATTTTAGCATGTCAGTTTTGGATGATGATCTGGAAACTTGCGATGGGAAGCAAGAAAAAGGAAAACAGGTGCCGCCTCACTTGACACACTTGCACATGCTCTTCATGTCATGCCACGCGTTGACTCACGTCCGATGACACTCCATGCATGTTGGACCATGCCATGCCATGCACACTGAAGTCAAACACCTACCCTGGCCTTTCTTATAATTTTGCACAGCCGAACCTGGGATTGATGGATGGTCAACTTTTGAATGTGTCATGCCCTTTGCACAGCCAAACCTGGGTTCGAATGATGGTCAAGTTTGCACTTTACAAGTGTTTGGGCAGGATCATGCTGTGCAAAGGATATGACGTTTTGTCATATCCCATGTAAGGCCGAACCTGCGTTCGAACGATGGTCAACCTTTCGGGGTGACATACCCTTTGTACGGCCGAACCTGCGTTCGAACGATGGTCAACCTTTGGGGGTGACATACCCTTTGTACGGCCGAACCTGCGTTCGAACGATGGTCAACCTTTCAGGGTGACATACCCTTTGTACGGCCGAACCTGCGTTCGAACGATGGTCAACCTTTGGGGGTGACATACCCTTTGTACGGCCGAACCTGCGTTCGAACGATGGTCAACCTTTGGGGGTGACATACCCTTTGTACAGCCGAACCTGCGTTCGAACGATGGTCAACTTTGGAGGTTACAATGACTCGGGGGGATTCTGATGTACAAAGGGTATGTCGCTGCGTCATACCCTATGTACGGCCGAACCCAGGTTCGGGTGTACAAACATACCTCCCCTGGGTATGTCACCCACCCCGGACATAGAGATGTCATACCACAAAGGTATAGGCTTGTACGGCCGAACCCAGGTTCGGCTGTACAAGTGATATGTCGCTGCGTCATATCCCTGGCACGTGGGAATCCCAGGTATTCATTGCAGCAGCATTTTGATCTCAAATTTTCCAGACTTTGACTCTCGTCCTTGCCTTTAGAAACAGCATGGCAGAGTGGGCCCAAGCAAGAAGAGATGCCAAGACTTCACCAGTACAACTTGATGTCAAGAGCCTGTTGAAAGATGCTATGAAAGATGTTTTCGATCATCACATGGCAGGTGCTTTTGCTCCTTGCCTTCAGGTTTTTTCTGTAGAACAGGCTGGGTTTCCCACCTTTCATCCATTTGCCACTGACTTCAGGCTTGGGCCATGGCTGCCATGCCTGATGACGTCCCAGGCATCAAGTCACCTGTGCGGACCCCTGACGACATCAAGGCCGCGCTGGGTAACAGTCTCCGAATCCAATCAGGTGGTTCTTTGAAACAGCTTGCTTTGTCCACCAGGGCCTTGAAACTTGGAATGATTTTTCCTTGCTGCATGTAGCTTGCATGCTTGCACAAATACTTATTGCATGTGTTAGCATTTACATGGTCGACTCAATTCCTAGGAATGTGTGGCAGACTTGCCGCATTGAAGGTGTCTTGGAGTCTTGGAATGGAAATCCTAGCACTGTTGGGGCACTGGTCCCGACGATTCAGATCAACAGTGACCTGTGGACCAGCGAGAATGCTGAAGGGCTTGTGCGCCTCAATGGCGATTCGGAGTCCTACGCTTAGCTTACACCACTTTGCCATTTGTCTCAAAATTTATTAGCCGTCACCCCCAAATCAACGGTGTTCTTCAGGATTGCAGCTGTTGTGCTGCTTGCCTACTGGACCAAAGAGCAAGAGCATGTCAACTACTGGGTGGTCAAAGCGTTGACTGACGTGGTCTTTGAGTTTGTATCTTGTGGAACCGGTTCCAGCTTCGACCTTGCCAAATTTGGCTACTTAATTGTCAAACCAAGCTTTTTTTGGGTCTTCTGATGCTTTGTCGGGCCGAAAATCTTGATTTCAACGCCCCACAGAGCTTTATTGTTGGCATGTTGGGGCGCCGTCAGGCATTGTTGAGAAGGAAGAGCGGGATCGCAAGGTAATTGGCTTGAGCGCTGCCAACAAGTGCATCATTTTGTCAGAAATGGTGGGTGGCATGGCCACTGAAATGGGTAATGCTGACAACGAAGAAGCTGCCATTGTCAAGTTGCTTGAGAAAGGGGGTGAATCCCACATGAAGGGGTGGAACCTTGACTTGATTACTTGTGGATGCCATTCTGATTCCATCTCAGATGTAGGGTGCTGCGTGATATGCTGCATGTCCAGGAACAAGGACACAACCACTCGATACAGCCAACTTGGGAAGAAGCTGAAGAACATGCCGGACCTCAGGGATGCCATGGATCCTGGCCTCATCTTGTTTATATCATTATGTACATTTTTGCATTTCTATCCTGATTTTTCTGACACGCGTGTGTCCAAGGACCTGATGGAGCATCGCTTTGGAAGGGAGTCAGTGTTGGATGGGATCACTTCGCTGAGAAGCCTCATGAGCAAATTGCTTGCATTTGCACATGCACCTGCACCTCTTTTTCAGATTTTCAATTTCTTGGGGTACTTAATTAATTGGGATGGACCGCCAAAAAGTCTCTGAGGTCTGAATGTGCCTGCCTGCGACCTTGTCTACATCGTCCGAATTCTTCTTCTTGAAAAAGCTGTTGGCTTGCGAAAGGCATTGACACAACACAGGACCGGAGTCCAAAGGTATGACCTCGGCACCTGCCTTAATTGACCTTTTGGACCTAAGTTTGCAATTTCTTGTCAGACCTTTGTCTGGGCCGTCTCTCAGGCAAGGTGCTCAAGGCGATCTTGGTGAGACGAGACTACATCACACACTTGAAGGGAATTTTTCCAAAAATGTCTGACTACTTGACGGACTATGGCACTTTTGCTTGGTTCACTACGACATACAGTGTGGATGAGTTTGGCAACAGCTTGGGCAACAAGGCCCCCATGGACGACGATGAGGATGAAGATGCAGCCGAGAAAGCTCCTCACGGTGAAGAGCCTGTTGCATCTAGCTACAGTTGCTTGAAGCCACTGACACAGCTATGCGTGCCTAGAATGAATGTGTCGGGTACCAAAAGTTCAACCTTCTAGAAACCAATGTAACTAATGCATTTTTTGATGAGTGGCTTTTTCAAGGAGAAACTGATGCGCAATGGCTATGAGGGCGCTTTGTGCCGACTTGCCAGCGACGCAATCATCGGAAAATCGTTGAATCTTGCGATTCAGGCCATAAGTGGTGTGTTTCTGCTTTCATTTCCCGTGGTTCTTGATGTTCTTGATTCTTGTTTGTTTGCCTGCTTCTTTGGCAGGATGAACAGCTCAAGACCATTTTGGCCGAGATCACAGGGAAATATGAAAAAGATTTCCCACAGCCAACAGAGAGCACTGATGTCCACAAGACCACTCACCAAGACTTGGAAGTCATCAGAACGGCCCGTGTCGCCGACCGGTCTGAATACGACATGGAATTGGCCAACTACCTCAAAAAGCTTGAGGAAAACGAACGGGACCAAGTGAAGGAATATATCCTTCATCGGGTGGCTTTTGTGGTCAGCGAGCTGGACAATGACCTGCCGGCCAAAATCTGCAAGCAGAATTTGGCCAGGGAAGCAAAGCGCAAGCTTTGCGTCTACAATGTTGAGTGTGATGGGTGCACTTCATGGTCCCAAGTGAAGCAGCGGCGGCTCAACCCCTTTGGTGGAGTTGGCCCTGGTGTTTCAAAGAGTCGGCTTGAGACTGTCGTCCACACATACGAGGCTAGGTGTTGTGTTGTTTTTCAATCATGCATCCTGCAGTGCAGTACTGATGGCCAGGAGATCCGTACCCGCGAAGGAGACCAAGACCTGAAAGACCGATCAATGCTGATTGTGACATGCAAGGCTTAGCTTGGTGGAACGTTATGTCATGTCATGTCATGTCATGTCCACTCAGATTGTGTCATGTAAAGTTAACACATGCCATGTCATGTCATGCCATGCCATGTCATCATGTGTCAACTCAGATCATGTCATGTCAATTCAAGCTACTTCCACAGCAGTTCATGTCATGTCACGCCACATCATGTCCCCACCTCTTGTCATGTCATGTCTCTCCACGAGACCATGTAACCACATGCATGAAGCTGTCATGCTGGATTTGCACCGTAGAGGTGGATGCTTTGAAGGTCCGGTCGGCTTTGGACGTGATGAAGCAAGAGTTGACCAAGCTCACCGGCGCCAAGAAGCACACCATGGTTGTTGGCCAGATCGAGCCAAGTGCATCGGATAGCTTGCAGCGCTTCAAGAGGGGCCGCAAAGCTTTTGGCTCTCGCGTTGAAAGCAGGTTCGTTGCAACGTCGGTCCAGGGTATTGCCAACGCCAAGTGTGGGGCGATGACATACCTGGAAGGCGACACGTTTTTCAATCGCTGGCCGGTCAAGTTGATTCCAGTGAGCGACCTGAAACAGCTCGAAGAGCAAGCGTATGAAAAAATGTGGGAATCAGTGCCTTGGGTTGCATTTAAAGAAGATTTTCCGTACTTTTTGTGGCTTACCCTTCTCCAACAAGCGCATGCAGGACGTTACGGCTGACCGTGAGATGGCCGAAGATGGAGCGGATGATGGTGGCATGGACATTTCGATTGATGAGAGCAAGGTAATTCCCTACCCGCACGAACATCACTGGACGTTGTGCCAAGAGTTCCTCGAGGTGTTCGGAGGGGCCAGTGGGACTACTTTGATCGACCTGTCGGTGGGCTCTGGGGCCAAGCTTCTTGGCGTTCTCCTTTCCAACGGTCGCGCTGTTGGAGTTGTGAGGTCCCAGAACCACCGCAAATGGGTGATGCAGAACCTGGTTGACTGGGTCAAGCAAAAGCGGCTGGTGAACGTTACATCGCTGCCCAAACCTCAGGTGTCTTGGACGTGGTAGCTGTGGTGGATCATGGTAGGTGGTTCTTCGAATTGCTGATCAAATTTGTCATGTTGCTCATGGTGTTGTAGGTTTTGCTTGACTTTGAGAAGACCCATGGTGTCAGCCCGGCTCCAAAGCCCGTGGCAAAGCCGAAGCCTGCTCCGAGCCCAACTCAGAATCTTACACGCATTTGATTTTTGCATGTGTGCATGTAGCTTTCCCTACCAAAGTTACGACTGAAGTTTATTTGCATGCAGGTCCCCGCCGATTCCATCACCGGCCTCGTCAGCATCAGAGACTCCGGCTGGCACGGCCTCGCCAGCACCACCTGTGAGTGGCAAGAACCTCTTGGCCGCCTTTGGAAAGGCTTCGGGATGAGAGTTATGACTCTTAGAACATGGTGCAGCTTGGAGGCGGCAATGGTTGATTGCCTTGACACTCTTACACGCCAAGTCAAGTGGCCTCTGGCGTTTTGGCGCCATGGAAACACACGCAGTGGCATCTATAGAGATGCACTCAGGACGCGCAGACCTTGAAAAATGACTGTTTTTTTGCACATGTTGGTTTCATGGTTGTGTTTTCCACTCACAGTTCATGCTTGATCCATTGCTTGCATGCATGGAAAGCACATTGATGGTTCAACATGTGCTCATGAATGAATTACAAGTTGACATGCATACCATTCCAAGCTGCTTAACTTCCACAGGAAGCAAGCCATGCTACACCTAAACATCATGCCAATGAGATTCAATGTTCCCACTTCAGCATGCTCATCTCTAAAGCCTGTGTTGACTTTTGCGCCAATGGAAAAAGGATTGCAGCCCCTTTTCTGCCCTCAATGGGCCGAGAAGTATCAGCCAGAGAAACGTCAAAAAATTGGGATCCAGTGCCCCGCGTGGATTCAAGATCAGGCCTGGCTTTGAATGCTAGAATGTACTGACTACTAGCCCTCTTTGCTTTGTAATATACCAGGCCGCTGAAAATGACATGGAGGTTGTGAACACCGTTTCTGATGGTGACTGCTTGCTGGATGCCTTCATCACGTCCTCTTTTTCAAACAAAAAGATAGCGTCAGGGGCTTTGTGAACTTGTTTTTGGTTGGCTTGTAGCTTTTCACTGTTCTGCAAGTCAGCTTGTTCCCGGCCAAGGTCACTGCGGAGAGCTCCATGGACTACAATCCGGCAATCCAAAACCAAAGAAGAGAAGATCAGGGCGTGTCGCAAAGTGGGCGTGGATTGGGTAGACCCTTGGCTTCATACACTATTTGAATATTACTTTGATGATCAAACATTGACAGGCTAATTTTCTTGCCTTCTTCATCTTAGGTCAGCAATTCATCCAAAGAGATGTGGGAATCCTTCACCGTTGGTGATCTGGTTCGTGTTGTGTCAGGGGAGACTGTAGCAAAGCGGGGTCCTCGGTTTTGGCTCCGGATGTGAGTGCTGCAGCTTGTGTTTATATACCAGCTTCTTTTTGCTTGGAAAGGTGGTCTACGCGCATGAAAGTCGCACATGTGTGGGGAGATACCGCATTGTTGCATGGAATTGCGTGCGCTTTCAAAGTGGATGTGGCTGTCCTCATGAACGGGTCAATGGCGTTGGTTGGACAAAGCCTTATGGATGATGCAGTGGATGACTGCGAGTTCCTCGGCATGAAACTTTGAGGCTTGGATCTCGGTTCCTTTTCTCTTCTTTCGGCTCAGGTTGATCCCTGTGGCTTTAGTAAATGACCACCACTTCTGGGCCTTGAAACCTGACGAAGCTGAAAGCAAAGAGGATGACCACGCAGGTCTTGCCGAGTACCCAACAAGTGCAGGCATCGACCCTTGGCTTGAACATGGAGCAGTTCAGGAGATGCAACTCATTGAGTGCCTTTCATCTTGGAAGCCGTTTGATGAACCAACGCATGATTTGGTTGAAGTCTTCACTGCGCTGTGTGATGCTGGCGCGGCCTCGAGCTCTGACACAGCACGCGCCCGGCAAATGGCTTTAGCTGAGCTGTCAAAACAAGATCAAGCCTACCTTGTTCCTTGGTCTGAGCTTTCTTAAAGTACTCATGTTATTTTTGGGGTTGAAGTTCGTGATGCATTCTTCGTGAGGCTCTCCCCCAAGAGAAGAAATACCAGCGCGCGGAGCGGGCACTTCGCGCCTGCAAATCAATCCTTGGTTCTGATTGCCCCATGTTGTTCAACCAAAGCCGTGCAGCTCGCATGAGACACTCTTTGCGATTCCAAGCCTACTGTGACTTAGCAAATATCAGCAAGGCAATCAGCGAAGAATGTTCCAAAGGAAAAGCCTCCCACGAATGTCTGTGTCTTTTCAGGCAGACACCGCAGCTTGTGAGAAATTTTCGGATGCTTTGGGCCAGCTTGCCAAAGCCTGAACGTTTTGAGAAACTCATCAAGTTCATGAAGGACACAGAAGGTCACACAAGCACATTTCGTTTCTTGGGGGTGTCTGTGTGCCAGAAAGCATTCCAACTGTTGACGGGTGTCTCTTCCAAAGTGCTGCAGAACGCCCGGGAAGCAATCCAAAAGAGACAAGTTACTGCCCTCAACAGGGCTGAACTTGGACAATGGCTAGAGATCCGGAATGCTCCCCGGGCACCCCGGTACTTGGATCCTTGGCATGGAAGAGTGTTTTGGCAAGTCCTTTTATTTGTCTTTCATTTGGCTTCTCATGTGCCTGGTCACCAAGGATGCACGAGCCTGGCTGGAGAAGCACGCTGAGCTGTATGGTGAGCAATCACCAATGACAGGATGCACATATCTTCCATGGGGTCGCAGAAGTGAATACTATGCCCTCTACCTTTTTGAGCGGTCCCTAGATGGGGACTTGGCCCATCTGGATGGCCAGGCGGCCGACCAGAAGACTTTCATGGCAGCATGGCGGTGTGAGGCATTCCATGTGCAGATCGCTTCTCGCACCAGCATGTTTGTGGCTTGTGCTGCCTGCAAGTTCTTGCAAGGTTTGATAGCAGGAACTGGTCGTGAGCAGGATGCTTTGCTTCAAGCTCTTCGGTATCGGCTGGGCAGACATTACTCCTTCCAAGCTAGCCAAAGGCTGGCAGATGAGAAACTCATGGAAGGGGCAAGGAGGTCAAACAACACAGAATGGCAACATGGCAATCATGTTCTTGCATGGGTTATATGCAAACATGAACAACATGGCAAACATGAACGGCATGGTAGCGGAACAGCATGGCAATCATGATTTGGCCTTCGTGTCGTGTGTAGTGGGTGGCTAAGGCATGTGCAGGTTGATAAGATGGATCAATCGAAGACCAATCTGCCCTGTGTGCACAGCATGTTTCTTGGCTGCTCAAAGCAATCAATCTACCTCAGTGCTGCTTTGATTTGCTAAATCTAAGGCGGTCAATTCCGCTCATGAAAACTGGGCACGTCATGGTCATCGGGCTGGTGGCATCCATTTGGTCTGGCACTGGTGGCCATGACGACTTGACTTTCACCACTCTCTGGGAAGATAGCAAGCATGGTGGGAATATGCAGTCGAGCCTGCTTTTCATGAACCTACATTCCAAATGTGTTCAGACCAACAGCGTCCCTGAGAGTGTGATCTTGAGCGCCGACAACACTGCGAAAGAGACAAAAAACGGGATCACCTTTTGTTTTATGACATGGCTACGTGCAGTTTTGCAGCATACTCGCCTATGGCGGGTTCGCACCGTGTATAAGCTTGTCGGTCATACGCATTCGCACTGCGACAGGGCATTTTCACGTGTGAAGGCTGCACTGCTTGGCAAGAGTTATTTGTCAGAACCTGCTGCTTGGTTTGCAAGTGAAGTCACCGCTTGACAATAATCCTCAAGTTTCTGTTTGTTTTCTTTGCGTGCGGGATAGCACCTGGAACCACAAGCAAGGACATGGCCAAGATCATCATGGACTCTCTACCAAGCTACAACATTCGTTGGAATCACTTGGCGGCATCTCTCAACTTTGAAGGTCTTCGGTCACTGCTGGGCATAGATTGCCACAACCTGAGAAATGTGCATGACCTTGAGCTCTTCAGGTCGGAGGGTGGAATTTTCTGCAGATGGAAGCAGTACATGAGTGATGATGTTTGGTCAAAGCCTCGGTTGCTAGTACGTCCAGAGCACATCCATGTTGTGGCAAAGGCTGTGCCGGACCCAATCCAACACTCTTTCTCTGACACTCAAAAAGCGAAGTTCGAAGACTTCTTGAACAAATTTGAGATGCTGATGGCTTCAACCAACATGCTGGGAGAGAAAGAGAGGGAAGGCATGAAGTGGCTGAAAAAACACACATCCACTGACATGGGTTACGAGATGCCGCTGAAGCAAATGATCTCCGAAATTGAGATGGCAAACCGTGGAACTGCGTGCAGAACTATGGTGGACACTCTCCACGAAGTGCCTTCTGACATTCTGTACGCCAACTGCCCAGGACTCCTTCCTTGCGTTGTCACGCTGTCACCATGCTATCTTGTAGTTAAGAACCACCATCTGCCTCAGGAGCTGACATTCCAGGCCTTCCATTGGAAAGCTTGATGACGGTGGAGACCACCCATGGATCAGAGAATGTTATGCCAGCTCTTGACCTGTGCTGTGTCAACATGGACTTCGTGATTGTGAAGCATAAGTACGGGAAGCTCAAGTTCGTTCTCGGCCAAGTGATCGACATAGACCATGAAGAGCAGTCTGCAATTGTCGAGTGGTGGCATCCTGAGATGGCCAAGGAGGCCAGCATGCGTCAAGGAAGGAAACGTCAAATACTGGATGTTTTTGGACCGTGGGTCCCCAGCGAACAAGTGGTCGTGCAAAACCTGGAGCCATTGCCCCCGTCGGTGATCAGCTCGGAAAAAATCCTCTTGTGGGGGTTTGAGCTTGAAGAAGAGAACAAACTTCCCTTTTCCGTCTTTGACCGCCTCATGGAAGATGGCATTGATGTCACTGGTTTGACCATTTCCAGCACGTCCCGGGGAAATTTGTACAGAGCCCACCGGCTGATGAAGCATTGACCATGCATGGCATGGAAAACGACCGCAGCATGTTCCTCACAGTTGCAAGTTGCATGCTTGTGTTTGTAGCATGTCCCATATGGTTGCGCAATGTTGCGCATGTCCAACATAGCTGTGCATGTCCCACCTGCATGCCTCCTCGCAGGTTGCAATGGATGGTGAGATAGCCAGCGGAGAGGAAGAGAAGATAGAAAAGAAAAAGAATAGGAAGGAGAAGGATACAGATAAGAGGGAAAAGAAAGAAAAGAAGGCGAAAGGAGAGAAGAAAGAGAAGAAGGCAAAGAAAGAGAAGAAAGAGAAGAAAGAGAAAAAGGAGAAGGAAGACAAGAAAGAGAAGACAGATAAGAAAGATGCCGCAGAGGACATGGACAAGGAGTTTGCGGTTGGTAATGCATGGTAGCAAACAAGTCAGCTCAGCTACATGACAAACATGGCATGCATGGCAAACATGTCAGCTTGGTTACATGGCAAGCATGGCATACATGGCAAGCGTGCAAAACATGGACACGGAAAAGCATTGCAATCATGACTGTACCTGTCAACTCATGTCAGGACATGAAAATGGTGAAGGTCTGTGTGACCGACATCCTGAATGAGGATGACAGCATGAAGCTGGGGGATCTGAGGCAGCAGGTTCAGCTGAAGTTGTTTGGCAAGTTCAGCTGTGACATCAGAACCCTCAACGCTTATGTTGATTCAACGGTTGCCCACTTAAAAAGGAAACAGGCTGCCTCGGATCCCCCAAGCAAACGTGCCTCTCCAAAGCCAATTTTCAAGAGGAGGTGAAAAAGTAGATGTGTGTGTGTGTGTGTGGGGCAGGGGCAGGCGCAGTGTTAGCACCCTATACTAACATTGTAACTTAGGACCCGTTCCCACCCAAAACCAGAATCTCTTTTGATCCAGAATCTCTTTTAAAAGATCATTTCATACAGTTTAATTCTAATAAGAAATTGTCTTTATCTTCATTATATATAAAGTAGGAGGACAGTAGGACTATGTAGCATTCTACCATTCATTTACGATGCGTTACCATTCTTTGCCAGTCTTCCCCATTGCCTAATACTATTTCGCATGATTTAGATTACCATCAATCGACCCTTTTATTGGCCCGCCAGCCCCAGTTCTACCCAGAAATCATGGACAGTGGCTTGAGTGTTTCATGTCTTTCGTCGGTCTTGATTCAACACAACAGCACACTATTTTTGCTCACCAGGTGGAGAGTAGGCATTGGAATGCATTGGATCAACGTTATCTGATCAACCAACAGAATGCCCTGCCATTAGAAAGGTCAAGAAGGATAATTGGAAGCAGGAGATATGACATTTCTGCCAATTCCAAAGCATTATCCTTGAATAATTGGAAGCAGGAGATTCCAGCTTTTTCTAAACCAGGAAAAAAGACAGGTAGCTGGATGAAACAATCAACCAAGCTGGGTGAATCCCTCAGCAGCTTAGCATTTGGAGGGTCGCATTGAGGTGACAAGTCATCCAAATATATGAGCCATGGTCAATACTCACTATATGGTTGATGGTCATCCCATCCATAATAAGGATCCTTATAATGGTTATTATAAATCCCTATGAACCATTGGATGACTAGCCCCTATTAATGGTTATTAACCATGAGTATTGACCATAGCTCATATGGTAGAATAACTCAACTGAGTCCATGAAGCTATGAGGTGAAGGTGCTGCCAGCCACCAGTTCCCTCAAACTTCTCAGGCCTCTGGTAGAGTCATGAGAATCAGACCGTGGTAATCCATCTCAGTGGTTTACTACTCGGTGGTTCACCCCAGGAATCCTAAGTGGGTTAGAAAACGCCTTAGTAGGACAAGTAGGGTTGGTCCAGTTATAATAAGGGATATATATATATATATATATACACATATAATAAGTGTTAGATAGATATATATATATATATATCTAACTTAGAACTAAGAGCCCACTTACTAGCTGAGGAAAACTGCTAAATATCAGGATTTTTTGCGAAGACCTTCACCTCCCCAGGCCTCGAAACGGCAAGGTTCAGGGTCCCAACTCGCTTTGCCGTTGGCTCAAACTTGGGAGCTACCTCCAATTTTGTTGGCGTCCACAATTGTTACCCTCTGATAGTTCGACATGGTAATGCTAGCCCCCTTTCGGGATGGTCAAAGCCATGTTAAACATTGTTAAACCACGTTTAACCATGTTAAACCACGTTAAACCAGCTCCATTCCAACTGGCACTTACTCAGTTGCTTACCAGGTGCCGGAAAACCACCCAGGGAGCTGTCGGCCGACGCCCGTGTTGGGGTCAGCGTCGTCGCCGCAACGTGGTCTCAGTCTATCTTAATGGAGCCTCGATCGAATCCATGGTGAAACAGTGGGGCAAAGTGGGGCAGACAGCGACCACACAACTCGAAATCCTCGATGGCTGTGGATTACTGTGGATGGGCCAGCGAAATCCTGCACCAGTTGGTAATTACTGGTGACTATGAAACATTGTAAACAATGGGAACAAACCAACATCAACACATCAATTGTACATCTGGTTGGTGGTTGAGCCACCCCTCTGAAAAATATGAAAGTCAGTTGGGAAGGATTATCCCATATATTATGGAAAATAAAAAATGTTCCAAACCACCAACCAGTGATTCAACCAAAACGCTGGTATGATGAGGGTAAAACGGAGTTAGGCTTGTAAATCTTTGGTTTATGATCTTGAATGACTGTTCCTTCCATTTCCTCTGTAAATGTCAGTAACCCACGTCCAAACCGGAGAACCCCAGAAAGCCAGCATGAGTTCAATATGACTGTATCGAAACTAATCCGAACCGGCAATGTACCCAACATTATATAATATCCATATTGTATATTTATTATATATATACATTATTATATATATATTAGAATATATATATAATAGAATATCTATATAATAGAATATATATATCTATCTATAATAGCCATATAATATATATATATATATAATAGCCATATAATATATATTATATAGAATATATATATATATACGAATATATAAACTTCTGCAACATTACTCTGTAGATACTAGCAGAGCATTGAAGAATTGCCAGTGTAATCCTCAAAAAATACCCAGTGTTTCCACAAAACCTGACAGATCATCATCCTCCCAAGATTTGATGGCAGAGTTTTGTGGCCTGAAGCATCAATACCATCATCAACCGAGAAAAATAGGGCCAACATTGGGATAGTTAACCCCTACCATTAGATAGATGTGTGAGGTCGTGATCAAATTCATCCAGATTTATGGTGACCTCATCACGTGATCATTCCCAGGATGCCCTTGGCTCCCGGCTGTAGATGGCCCGAACCTGCAAAAATATGGCTGGGAAATTCCCTATCACTGGGCATTCAAGTAAGGGGATATACCACCAAAATATGGCCTTATATGGTATAGTAATGTACAGTAGCTCCATTTTTGGGATCCTGGAGATCTCCCATTGATCAAATGGGAAGAATCAGTTGTTTTCACGGAATCTGGCTGGTGGATTTTCTGGATTTTCCACTGCCATTGATGAAAAAGGGTCATCATCCCGCCAGGGGGACGGTTGGTTGAGTTCACCTCACTATTTGTCGTTGAGGGAAGCCCTCAACGAACCAATTTCGGTATCAAAAATGGGTCAAAAATGGGTCCCAGGAAAAGCCATCCATCTAAACAACTAGATTGGTGTAAGAGCGTGATCCTTCACCAGAAACAATAAAATGATATAAAATATGCCACTCCTGCAATAACCTTGTACCCTTAGATACCCCTTTAGCAAGCTGTTTCAGTCGGATATGAACAATTCTTCACGAGCATTCCACAGTAAGCAGTTGAAAACTCATGTCGAAACTTGGGTCCAACAACGGGTACCAGAAGTTTCCTGTTTTGGACGTTACAAAATCACAGCCTCGAAACAATGGAATGTTAATGTAAGCAGCAAGAATGCAGGTAGAAATATTATGTGAATGTGTATACATGTATACATGCATACATATATATATATACATGTACATGATATGTGACACGTAGGTGTGCAACATTTTGATAACCATTATTCTCAATATTTATGTTTATATATATATGTGTGTGTGGGACCATCATCCCGAATCATTGAAATTCATTTAAAAAAAACATAAAACAGCGGTCTCTGAAGCAGAAATGCTGGTGTTTCATCGCGGTGGCAACGGCGCCTTGAGCGATGTGTTCCATGAAATACTGACTGGTTCAGAAGGTTCAGAATGGGATCCGAGTTCATGGGTTATTTTAATCCTCAGTAGATGAAGGGTACAGTAACCATTGAGAAATTTGTTGGCCGACATTGCTGCACTGCTCTTCTGAACTCATATGCTCTATGTGTGGCAAATGTACCTCAATGTTAAGGTCTGATGTAGGTGAGTAGAGCAAACATGAATCAGATGCGTTTGTCTGAAAATAGGGTAGCCTAAAATTTCATGTTTAATAATGGTTTTCCCAATTAAAACGATCCCTTTCCTGGACACACCCATACAGGAGTTATTACAGCCTCAGCAAGCCGGACATCTGAAACTTTGCCCAGGAACGAAAGAGAAGGATGAAAGCAAACCAATGGAACCAGTGAGAAGAAAGAAGAGGATGGACATAATCAGCATATACCTCGGAGCGGGCCATTTCTGTGTCTTGGAATCTCGCTAGGATCCAGACCGGAACTGGCAATCATCCTTCTTCTTATCTTCTTATTAGGATATTCAAGTGAAATCTACGAGAAACATCAAGAAACCAGGCGTTTTTTTCATCAAAATGAGGACTAGGATTTCCTGCAAAATCTTCCCTGAACGAATTGCGGGAGATTCACGAGCATACAAACCCATACACTGTCGCAGATGGACTGAATAGTTGGTATACAGTGTTATACAGTAAACTGGTTGGTGGTTTTCTCACCATCTTGAAAAATGTGAGTGCGTCAATGGGAAGGATTATTCCATCCCATATATGAAATGGAAGTCATAATCCAGCCATGT